CGTACGGTGTCGAATAATTTGGTGTCGAATAAATCTGTGTCGAATCGAGCGGTGTCGAATCGTACTGTGGTCAATAGAGTATCACCCCCTTACGCCTGGATCAGAGCCGTATTCGCTGGTGACGGTAGCCTGCGCTTGCCGATCCTCGCTGCATTATCTATCCTTTACAGCAGCTCGCCCTTCAAGCTCCTTATCGCAGGTATTCCCTTGTTGATACGTAGGCGGTGAGACGTAAATTAAGTACAAAAACATTACAAAACGTAAGACAACGATACAATTAATTAATAAGTTTTTGAGGATCCTGGCGCTCGGACGGCTCGCATTCACGGATTCGTTCGGAATGTGACATTTTTGTGGCGAGAAAGAGGAGCGGCGCGACTACCACGTCACAATGTATATACATATAAGTTACATTGAGTAATGTTTATACTTACTTAAAATAAGAGGATTTGAAAGATTTGTCGAAGAAAAGTCTCTTCACTTTTTGTCAGAAAAATCCATTAAATCTATCTACAGGGTGAGTCATCTGAATCTATCACCTCCAATAACTCGTTTGTGTGGCCAGGAATCGAAAAAAGTTTCATATAAAAGTTGTAGAGTTTCGAGGGGGAACCAAAATGGCGTACCTTTCAACTTTTGATTTTGACCGAAAGTGGGTTACTTCAACCAAAAGTGGTTTTTCTAAACTGGAAACCTCCCTTTTTGACACCGGAAAATGAAAAAGCGGAAAATTTTATGTTCAGATATAACCTTGGCTGGTTTAAAATTTTCAAAATGGCAAACGAAGATGGCGGACATAAATTTTAGTCAACCGATTTGCACCAAATTAAGTTTACGAAGGTTTTTGGGGTTGCTGATCACGAATCTGAAGTAAGATTTGCAAAATTCAAAATGGCGGATCCAAGATGGCGGACCAAGATGGCGGACGAAATTTTTATCCAAAATTAATAGAAAGTACTACTTTTAGCACTACCCAAGAACAACGGCGTGGACGTGGTAGTTTTTTGTTTCCTATGGGGTGCTTTATTTACGTGAGTCCCCTTGCCTCTCACTATCGGGGTGCTTTATTTAGTTAATTTGTAACTTCAAACAGTTACTTTGCTAAGTAGTACACTTAGCGAATTAACTGTTCGAAATTCCGTCCATTTTCTTGAATGCATAGGTCGATACCATCATGAATATGATGTTAATGATAATCGTGTTATAACCCCACCAACTCCCGTGTACAAAATTTGGTGAAAATTGGTTGACTTTCAGACATTCATACTTATGCGCAACTAGTTCGTATGTAGCTCTTCCGCTAGATTGCTATGACCATGACTATCCTCCTCCAATCATAAAGCAGACGTGAATGCTTAAATAGCAATGATATCTCCGCTTATTTGTATCTATTGAAAAACCAATACTTTTAGAACTCAGGTAATTTCTTATCTTTAATATGACAGCCTACCCACCAAACGAAATCGTGGACATGATCAAAATATTGGGGGAATGTAGGAATAATTTTTCGAGAGCTGAACGTCTGTATGTGTGTGTGTGCTCAACGTTATCCTGATAGAAGGCATCCAACTAGGGTAACCATTAAAACCTTTACCCAGAGAGCAAGTAATGGGTCTATGGTTCGCCGATCACGACATCATGAATATGATGGTAATGATAATCGTGTTATAACCATGTTAGCGAAAATTTATCTCGATCGTCATATTAGCACTTGTCAAATCGAAAGAGAAATTGGCATACCTCAGCGAACAGTTGCGAGAATATTAAAGGCGAGAAAATTTCATGCATATCANATAACGTTGACACAACATTTTAATTTTAATGATTACTTACTTCGTGTAAATTTTTGTGAATGGGCTCTGCAAATGATCCAACAAGATGAAAACTTTTACCGATACGTACTCTTTTCGGATGAGGCAACTTTCAGTAACACTGGAACTGTAAATATACATAATTGTCACTACTGGTCCGATGTAAATCCTTATTGGTTTTGTTCAACTAATTTCCAAAATCGTTGGTCTTTAATGGTCTGGTGTGGCATCGTAAATGGCTATTTAATAGGTCCTTATTTTTTTGAAGAAAACGTTAAGGGACAAAACTTTTTGCAGTTTCTTCGAGACGATTTACCGCAACTATTGGAAGACGTTGATTTATTCACCAGAGAACGGATGTGGCTTCAATTGGATGATGCGCCAGCACATTATTCAAATATTGTAAGAAATTATTTGAATAACCGATACAATGGTAGGTGGATTGGGAGATTGGGCGCAGTCGCGTGGCCTCCTCGTTCGCCAGATTTAACTTCTCCCGAGTTTTTCCTGTGGGGAATGCTGAAAAATATTGTCTATTGCGAAAAACCAACAACCAAGGAGAATATGAAGGAACGTATTCGGACTGCTTGTGCCGCAATATCTCAAGACATTCTTTTGAGAACAGTCACATCATTCAGAAGGCGTATCGACATATGCATTCAAGAAAATGGACGGAATTTCGAACAGTTAAGTCGCTAAGTGTACTACTTAGCAAAGTAACTGTTTGAAGTTACAAATTAATTAAATAAAGCACCCCAATAGTGAGAGGCAAAAGGACTCACGTAAATAAAGCACCCCGATAGTGAGAGGCAAGGGGACTCACGTAAATAAAGCACCCCAAAGGGAACAAAAAAGTACCACGTCTACGCCGTTGTTCCTGGGTAGTGCTAAGAGTAGTAATTTCTATTAATTTTGGCTAAAAATTTCGTCCGCCATCTTGGTCCGCCATCTTGGATCCACCATTTTGAATTTTGCAAATTTGACTTCAGATTCGTGATCAGCAACCCCAAAAACCCTCGTAAACTTAATTTGGTGCAAATCGGCTGACTAAAATTTTTGTCCGCTATTTTCGTTTGCCATCTTGAAAATTTTAAAACAGCCAAGGTTATATCTGAACGTAAATTTTTCCGCTTTTTTATTTTCCGGTGTCAAAAAGGGGGGTTTCCGTTTAAAAAAAATCACTTCCGGTTGAAATAACCCACTTTCGGTCAAAATCAAAAGTTGAAA